ATATGATATGTCGATAAACTTTAAAATTCCAGTAATTTTGTGTGGGATAGAAGTCAATGCTGATGTTTGCAGACAAAGAGCACAAAAATGTACAGAACGATCTTGCTCGTTTTTCTCGATAATACCACATAAAATGACGTGTCCTGCTAGTAATACTTGTTCTCCTTCTATAAAATTTCTCGATGAACTGCTACAAGTAGCATATTTCATTATATCAGATAGTAATATATAATTCATTTTACATTGACGACTAACAAACGACCCAGATAGAGTAGCCATTTTGTAAAAATACAGCGCCCTCTATAATTCATGAAAAACGCGAATACTACTACACGTGATTGAAAGTGAATTGTCGCGCTATCTACCGACGTCACCTGGAAATATTTTTGTCACCAAATTTTTCAAGCTAGTTGCGTGTTAAATAAAGTAAAAATTATATATAAAACTTTTAATTACCTCGATGTAACGTCGTTTATAGTTAACAGTCAATTATATTTATGCCAAGTCATCTATGGATAATCCAGGGCCGGATCATCGCATAGACAAATGAGACAAATGTCTAGGGCCCGGTTTTTNGGCGGCCGACGATATCGATATTTCTAAATATACTGGAGTGTTTAAACTGAATTAAAAGGTGAAATGATAGAAATAACTGTCCACCCGAAGCAATCTAAGAAAAATACTTCGGATAAGGCTGCACTAACAATATTCATATCTTCGATTTTAGATACATCCATTTAGTTATAAACGAATCGTTCGAAAAGTCTAACTAAATAAAAATAACGATGACATCATTTTCGTTTAACTCGTTCGACTTTATGAACGTACCCAAGATTGAAGTAAATTGCTTGTTCTTCTATTATTAAAAAGTTACACGAGTATTTTTAGAGAATTTATCAATTATAAAACTGTTTAATTAATTAGTCTTGATAAAATATTTAGATGCAATAACTAAATATTTAATTTTTTACACAAAAGAAACTTAATTATTAAACACATACCATACATAAATAATGACATTACAGCAATAAAAGAGAATTTTTCTCTTTTTATTATACATCCTCTATGAATGAAAAACTCGATGATCTGAATTAGTTTCAAACATTAAAGCCTTGATAATTAATTACAAAATAATTAAACTTAATTTTTGCTGTTGGTTGCCAATTTCATTTTTTATAGTTTAACCTTGAGAGATAGAGTTGAAAGACTTTAGATAGTCAGATCATATTATATACCATATTTACTTGGGTATAAGACGATCTTGCGTATAGGACGAGGTGTGACTTTAGAGATTAAAATAAAAAAAATTAGATTTATTAATACGGATCTAATTTTATTTCGTTTAATCACAAAATATTATCAAACGCACGTATTAAGGCAAACAACCATGTTTGCCTTAATACGTGATGAATTGAGAACAAAACCAAAACATTATCGCGTGATTGGAAAAAGTTTTTATTTTTAATGATTCAGAATGTGCTAATATTCATAAAAAAATAACATAACTACATTTATAATCATTGCTAAGTGACCTGTATTTCGTTAATGTTTTTATAAATAATGAGAAACTATTTTCTGCGAACGAATGAGATGCAACGCAGGTTTTAATTGATGGATGTAGGATTAAACCAATAAACAAAGGGATGTACGTCTTAATTTGTTTACAATAGGTGCCAACTTACGATAGACTGTAGACCTATAATGACAGCATGAAGTATACACGGTTCACAGAAATTATTGCAAAAACGCAAAGAATCCGTCGTTCGCATGTATAGGATGACCTAGGTTTTTGAAGCAATGAAAAATGAATAAAAGCCTAGTCTTATATGCAAGTAAATACAGTATTTTAATAGTTTAAGACTATTAAAATATATAATATAATCTGAAAAATCTTTTTATTTGCAATTATTATACAGTATTCTGAATTCTAAATAGAAATAGTATGTGTAATATGTTAAGAAATCTAGTAGCAACTACCATTCTTCACATATAACTTGATATAAATTCAAGCATTTTTGAATAAATACAAAACAAAATTCAAATTGCAAATATACATTCTTGTTTTATGTACCAATAGTGGCCAAAGACAGCTTATGATCTTCATTAGGAATTCAATGTTGGTGATATAGTTCTTAAAAGACATTGAATATTCAAAAATTTTAAGAAAAAAGACTAGATGGTGTACAGAAAGTTACTGTGCAATGAGAAATTTGTAATGACATAAAATTATACATGTAGCATTGCATATGAGATCTGTAAGTCGGAGGTCTCTCATTTCCACTTTGCGGTAGACTGTGTTACTGCCTGCTCGTAGATGTTCCAGTTTTTGGAAGTCTTTTCCGATTACATAATTTCTCGTGGAATCCGGCTCACTAGGCCTCTGGGCATCACTCCCCAGATTTAAATATTTATTTATGAAAGTTTAATTTTTCAAACAAACTATATTTCAAATGGCAGTTGGTATCTAGCTTTTGAATGTATTATACCGTATTTACTCGCATATAAGACGAGGCTTTTATCCATTTTTCACTGCTCAAAAACCTAGGTCGTCCTATACGCGCAAGCAAAGGATTCTTTGCATTTTTGTATAATTTTTGTAAACTATGTACTTGCATATTTTACCGGATTCTCACCTTCTGGTGTTTATAAACAAAAGTATTTTATGTGGGTCGTTTGAATCGTTCTTGTGTGTTGCCAGGAGTAAAGATGAATAGCAATAGGAAAAGCAAAGCTTTTGAATTGAATTCCAAAACCACACAGGTACCAATATAAGTTTTAATCCATTTCCATGTGAAAACAGATGGTTATTTGGAAATTCGAAGAAACTCATAAGTGTAATCGACGAAGAGAGAATTAAACTGTTAAGAATTGGCAAAAAAAAGGTTTCCTATTGTCCAGCTTTACATGAACAAATTATGTTGTCGATTTTACAAGATTTTTCTTTGAAGTTTAAAATGCCAGTAATTTTTCGGGACAATGTGTGAATTTACGTGTATTTGATATTATGTTGTTAAACAAAATAAAATTAGAATTGTATTAATAAATGTAATTTTCTTTATTTTGATCTTTAAAGTCACACCTCATCTTACATGCGAGACTGTCTTATATTCAAATAAATACAGTATTTTATACACCAGTAATAATTTAACAAGTACATATGCTATATATTGTACTTTTACATTTTATATATTTCATTTTTCATCGAAGTTTGTTAAATAAATACAGTATCTACTTACCATGGTTTATGGGATTTTCATTTACACTAAAGTTTGTTTTTAGAAATCCTCATATAATAACAGCATTTACTATTTGAGGGAAGCTGCTATTCAAATAAAATCTGTCTATACTCTAAAGATTCCTTCTTGCTGCTGCAACCTTTAACTCTCATTTACTGTATTTTTTTTTTTTTTTTTTTTTCTAAATTTCTGTATCACGAAAATTTTTCACATTTGTTCACTCCTCATCTTCTCTTCCCAATATTTTCCCTTCATGTCTTTGTCTTAATATACAGATATATGTAATGAATTTTGACTTTCTCTTCTTCAAGTATTACAAAAAACACAACAACACCCTAAAACAGTGAATAAACAATAAAATTTACTTCTACAAATGTTTTTATTTCTTTGCAATAAACAGGACATCTTAAAAACATTCAAACATAATCAAAATTCAAATTTTGAGGTGTGCAATCATGCAAAGTTACAATAAAATTAACTATAAAACACAGTTTAATTTTGTGGGGAGGTGCATAGATTTTAAGCCTGTTACAAAGAAACACTAATCACAGAATGGTCCTAGGTGAGCTATAGAACAAATAATTAAGGAAGGAAAAGCGATCACCTTTAATTAAAGAGAATGATTCACTACAATGGCATGACAGGCATACATTGATCTCGCCTAGGACTTTTCTGCAATTAGTGATTCTTTGTAGTGGACTTACAATGTATGCACCCTATAAAATTAAGAAATTTGTGTTTTATAGTTATTTTTATTCTAATCTTGCACAATTGCGCATGCCAGTATTTGTGTTTTTGATTATATTTGAACGTTATAAAGATGTTCTGTTCAGTTTTTGTTGTATGATGCCCGATAATTGTTATAAGTGAATGAAAATGTTGTTATAAGTAAATTTTACTGTTTATTTGCTGATTTCTTATATGTTGTGGTGTTCTTTAAGTTGAAATGTTTTGGTGTTTTGACCATTTAAGTCACAAGCACAGAATGAAAGAAAACTACCAGTTACTTTATTTCTCAGGCTGCTTGAGCTTATTTTTCATGTGTGATGTCATAAAGTGCTAGAATTGAAAACTTCAATTATTTATACTTCCTGTTAATGCGAATACTAATGATATTGACACAGTAAAAATAATTTTATGTAAATATATTTATTCAAGTAACATGTTAAATAAATTTACTGTTTTGTCATAATATAAATAATTTGTTTAATAAAACATTGTAAACAATGTGAGTAATGCATCATATTGAACAATATGACGCATTACTCATATTGTTCGACAGACATTAGCTGTTTGAGAATTTTTTGCAGTGTACTGTACTTACGTCAATGTTCAATTGTCAAGCTTTTGTAGTTTTAGATCATAATCTACCATACTTTAAATATGTATTAATTTTTCTGTTAATCCAAGCTTTTGATTTATTTTATTGTCTCAAATTGTGAAATTTAGTTATTTTGGAAATTATAGTGTTTCAGACATATTGGATGTTTGTTATGAATCAATAAAGTAACATTTCATAACACAAAAGACATTAATCCTATTGAAAATAAGGTTAAATTGTCAAAACTGTACATGCTTTTTACATCTTGAATTATCAATAAAATGCCACTGTTTAAAATTCAAAACTCAAAAATGATCTTATTTCTACTTAATATATAAAATAGAACTTTTGTGCGATCATTGTATTCATGCAAAGATTTACTTGAAATGTTTGAAAAACTGACCAAATTTCACAAGGGCTCTTTACAGTTTCTCAATGCGTGCACCTCGCATTGCATGGCACACATTCGACCGATACTCAAACTCTTCCTGTTGATTGATATGGCACGTCTGTTGTCACTCCTCCTGCGGCAGTCACAATTCTGTGGCTTCCGCAGGGTACTTACGTTGCATGATAACGAGTGATTCCAATGTGCAAACTGCAAATCATGCTCTCTATTGCAGATTTGCCGTTTCCATTTATTATTCTTCCTACTGGCAATAGATGAGACATTTGAACGCAGACGGGAGACAAAACTCAATGGTTACTCTATCAATTGATGTACTTGGCATAATTCTTGGATAATATTATAATTAATTTTGGAAGATACTGTATACAGTTCTTTGCAACAATGTTTAATTTAAATGCATACAAGTGTTTCATTTCTGTTCAAGCACTGATACATGAGATTCAGTATAATAATAATTGAATGTAAATATTGTCTTAAAGCTACCCAATGATCACAAACAGTATTTTGATATATCCAACACAATGTTTTTGATGCTGCCAATTCATATATCACATATACTTGATGACAGTTCATTATATTAATTTTAATATTTTCTTGCAATTAAGAAAATTCTGCAAAAATTATTTAAATTGCTTTATCATTTTAATGACTTTCTAATAATTTTTGTTTCTTTTAACAGTGTATAGAGCAAGTTTTCGTCAAACTTTTGCCGAAATGAAAGCTCCGACCGGTGAATGGAAAGTTATCGTGGGATGGACACTTTGCGGAATATCTCTAGCATTATGGATTTTTATGTTTATGCAAAAATTTGGTAATATTTTCTGTTTTACACTTAGTTATAAAACATTATTTCGTCATCTTTAATTATAATATAAACACTTATTTATTTCTATTGCATTTTGATATTGAATAAACAGAAATAATAGCAGCTTGCATTACATTTAATCACAATCTGGAGTGCGGTTAGGTGATAGCAACTAAGCAAGCAATCTAACAGTGCGATACCTTTTGTATGAAGCTTTCTTACTCGGCCACTTGTCTGGATACATCCCGGAAATCTGCAGTTAATTTTGGAGTAAATATTTTTGTATCTAATTTGTGTGGTTCGATTGGCTGTTTGCATAAACGTATTGAACATTCTTTACAAATTAATCAATCCTAAATTTTTCAATAAGTTTAATACACAAAATATTTTTCTTATTAAATTAGACTGATTAATAATCTGACATGCAATTAATTAAAATTTAATTTTTGCACACCATTCTATCGGTTTGCTTGCGCTGTATCATGCTAGTCAGTTGATGAAATGATATAATACGGCAGCAATCAGGCTAATATTCCATTTCACATTATATATTAATTATAAACACAGCATTTTATGTAAAATATTTATTATTATTTTTAAAAAAAATAATTAAATAGGTAAAAAAGTCTCTCTCTGGTTCTTTAATTCTGATTTGTCTTTGATAGCAACAATATTAATGCCTTAAACATTTTGTTAAGTTTTATTTTTTAATTATGATGACCGACTGACTTTTATGTTACTGAAGAATTACGCTTGTCTTTGTACTTTTTAGTTGATATATGGATGAAAGAGCATCTAAGCAATTTATGCAAGTCTTCTTTATAAACAACATTGATTAGATTTTTAATTATAATAATGGCCAAAATCTCATCGTATCCATACAAAAATACATTAATCATGCACCTTGAGAATACACGATTGGATGCAATTTTTGGCAGATTTATAATCGGAATTGGATTCAAATTGTCGTCTTTAGTAGACTGCCGATGGTATAATTACATTAAAGCCAAATCTGCAGTATCGAGCCTATCGTGTCTGACGTACCGTACATATTTATACCAGAGCATTACAAGTTGTGTAAATACATACATTGAATGCAATCGATAAATGTTTGATGGTTCCACGAGTGGCTCGGTAGTACGAATCGGGATTAAGACTCGAAGCCTTGGCCCGAGTCTTAGTCTGTGCTGCGAAGCCATTTATAAATAAAGATATCTTTCAACTTATTAATTACCAGTGCTAATGACCACCCTTGACGAACCTTTATGTCTGGTAACAAAAATGTTTAATAAATCGTCCAACGAATGTTTTCGACCTTACTCAGGGTAGGTTCGAAAACTCTAACTTCTAATGTTACTCAGATTAGAGTAAGAACACATTCTAAATTTGGAATTCGTTATTACTCTAACCTGAAGCAGACCTTGAGTAAGGTCGAAAATGTTTATTGGGGTCTCCATTAAACGTTTTTGTTACCGGACATAAAGGTTTCGTCCAACGAATGTTTTCGACCTTACTCAGGGTAGGTTCGAAAACTCTAACTTCTAATGTTACTCAGATTAGAGTAAGAACACATTCTAAATTTGTCAAGGGTGGTCATTTATAAATAATTTGTCTTATTGTTTTCCTGGTGTTTTGTTATAGGTAAGTATAGTAATCGTTTTGTTTTCATATTCAGAATATTCATTTTATCACGACAAAACATTTTCCAGCAAATATACTCAAATTTCGGTAATTCACAATAATATATCCAAAAACTAAGCGTGTTTGTATACTTTTGAAGGAAATTGTTTTGTATAATTGTATCCAAGTAACTTTTGAAGTTTCTACTGAAAAAAAAAAATCTATTTGCAGAAAATTTGAACTGTGAATTGTGGGGTTTAAACTTCCTCCAAGGAGATATTTTTCAGAAAGTGTTTTAGTACATCCAAAAATAAGCAAATTCAACAAGAGTTTACAATAAGTCTGTAACAATATGAAACCGATTTTGTTTGTTGTTAGAAATTTAACATGTTTATGGCATTAGTAGATAAATGTTTAGGCAGCTGCTGGGCGTTACGAGTCATCCGTGACTCATAGTCTATTTTAATACAGGGCGGCACGAGTCACCCGTGCATCGTACTATTAAATTAATATATTTTATTGCACCTAATAAAATAATATCGATATATAAAGTATGATGTTTGTAGAATTATGTTATCAAAATATATGCGCTGCCCCACGGAAAAACAAGCAATTTTGTCTGTAGCCCTAACTAGACATGTCCATATGAGGCACATGTGACTCGTAACGCAGTGAATGTGTTAAAACAGATAAGTTTACCTGTATTTTTGTGTGAAATTCTTTAGTACTTCCGGCCAGACTATAAAAGCAGGTTTTACAGTCTTGCATGAAGCACTTGACTCTAGAACGGTGAAATTATCTTTAAGGAGTATATTTGTAAATTGACATTGTGTTTGGGCGGAACTCTGTTTCAACTCTGCTTTCGCAACAAACTGTGGTGTTGTAACAAACAAGCTTCTAGGTATGTTACAAAATTCCACAGTACATAATTTGTTTACACTTTGTTATACCTGACACTCTTAATTCACACACACAAAGACAAAGTAAACCAATTACGACACTGCATTTTTGTGCTTAACACTGGAAAACTGTGGGAGGGAAGGAACAATGAAATTCACAAGCGGTGATTATTCAAAACAGAATAATTTTTTGGAAATTCTTGACATTTTATCAGACCTGTTTAATAATGTATTGTTAGATATCAAGTATCCAGTGTTTAGTCTGCAGTATACAATATTTCCTGTAATTAACTGCTCAAATAACTAAAATAACATGCACCGGTTGGCCTAAATATCCGGTATACTAGTGGTGTCCAACTAATATCAATAATTCCCCGATGTAACGTTACATAGGGGGATTAAAAGTAGCCCGGTTTATGGTCCACTTATTGTATAATTTCGTTTGGTCTGTTGTTTTTTACTGGATGACGTAGCATTTTTATAGAAATGGGGTCAAAGATCACCTTCTAGAGAAGTTTTCTTGATAATTCTATTCTGGAATTTGTATTTCTATAAAGATCTAGTTGATTTTTGTGTTGTGTTTCTGCAGGTACTTTGACATAAATACTTTTCGTGCACATAATACACAATGTAGAAGGGGTTTAAAGAATTGGGAGGGGTAAGATTTAAAAATTCGAAGTAGTCATTGAGCAATAATAAAGATGACTTAATCAGTTCTAGTTCTGGTATTTAGCTAAGTCACGCTGTTTCGAATTATTGAATAGTTTTCCTTAAGTGAAATGGACTTTACGAATACAATTAGCGGTGTAGTTACGTTAAACTTGATGCGAAATGACATTTGTTACGTTTACAATTAACGAAACAATGCGTTTGTAAATAAACAACAGTTACTATTGTTACGGGTCGCTCCGTAAAGCACGAAATATTTGTATCTGTTATGGTAGTTACGTCGAAGAGTAACATAAATCGGTTACGCGCCTTATACCGATAGAAGCCGTTGCGTAACTCCGTAACACTCGCCATTTTGATCGTATCGTTACACTAATTAAGCGTAACCGTTTGTATTTTCAGTGTATCCACCGTTACCCGAATCGTTCACTCCCGAGGGTAAGGCGAGAACATTGAAGAGGATGATCCAGTTGAGAGTCAACCCCATCGAAGGACTGGCGTCCAAATTCGATTACGAGAAGGGTCAATGGAAGTAAATTACAATAATTAAAAGAAAAAAAAATAGAACACATTCTTCTCTCACGCAGGCGGCCATTTTGATTTTTTTCGGAACAATAACAAATTAGTACTTACTTTCCTGATTTAGAGCGTAACGTATAAACTTGTGCGAGTTCAAAATTAATATATGACACCGATCAGAAATTTTTTTTTCTATAATATTCTAGAGACGAATTGTTTTGTTGTGATTAGCATTTTATGCAAAAAAAAAGAAAATGACGTAGATTGCGAATCTGCGTCACGTGTAACGCAGTTTTGAGCTGCCATTAAAGGTTGTTACTACATAATTTAAATGGTGGTTTGTCTGGTTTGTTTAAACAAAACGACACGCATTGAACACCAGGAATATATTTTTTATTAAGCGCTAACGTTATATGCGGGTTGCGAGAGAGAGAAAACGTTAGTTAAAATTCAAACGTAACAAGCGATCGTATACCAATTTTCAACATTCTTTGTCGTAACATCCATGCGAAAATCGACTCTAAACAGACTGGGAAAACGGCGCGCGTAACGTCACTTAACGCACGACTGCGTTGAAACACGTACAGAAACTTTTTTTTTTTTTGAAACGTTACCACCGTCGCGTCGCTAGCTCGTGACGCGACGCGAGAGCGGCAGGAGGAGGAAAAAAAAGAACAGGTAAGGGGTCATTGGACGTTCGAGACCTTTCTGGTGTCACGAAACAGGACGAGAAGAGTATTGCGCAGTGTCTTTTTTTTTCTTGGTAAGGGCAAACAACAACAACAACACAGGTAAGTCGACGTGGCTTCGATGGCGTAACCCATCCCCGATTTTTCTTTTAAAAAAAATGGCTTTCTCACCCCCCAGCTATGGACGACGGTCACTCGAGATGGACGAAAGTCACGTGGTCTGCGTTCTGGTTCCTTTCGATACTGTTCTGTACCGTCATGTCGTTCTTCTGCGCCTTCTGGTACATCGTCTTCCTACCGTTTACGGTGTGTTCCCAAAACGTCAAGGGTATCACAGAAATACTACTCATCGGTATACAACTGCCACAGCAGTGCAGCCAGAACATGATGGAGCACAAACCACTCAAGATGGCGCTGTCCGGTGACCACAGTTGATCGGAAATAAAACGCTAAGTTACATATTTAATGGTGCATTTGTTTGTCTGTCCGAACGTAAATAACTTAACGCGGATCTTTTGATATCGTACCTTTTTTTTTGACTAGTTTAACGAGCTTAACGCGAAGGCACCGTTACTGACCCCTCCACCTCCTGCACGCGGAGTCTTTCACCCACCAAGCTGCTATGTCGTCGTACACTTTGTAGGGGACCACGTCGCTCGTGTGAAGTTTTCGGCACAGTTCGCATATCAGGGGAAGGGACGGGGAGATGTGGAACCTGTCCTTCCATTTAAAGTACGACTTGTACAGGTTGTAGTCAGATGCCACGTTACGCAGGTGCTGAGCCAAGTGTTCGGCGTCTCTGTAACTCAGAGCGTCTATGTACGAGTCGGGAGGGGCCACTCGACTGTAGTTCGCGTCGCCGAACACTATGGGTATTATGTTGTACTTGAGTATCCTGAAGAACTTCTCTGTGACGTAATCCTTACACAGGGAGTTCTCCAGGGCCAGAAAGAACATGTAATTCCTGACGTAATCGTCGAGGCACTCGTCCAGTTTATCGTTGGGGCACCTGCCCTTTCCGCAACTCCCGTAAACGTCCACGTCGATGTAACTCTTCAGACGGTCGACGAACCCCTCCCTGTTTCCGGAAGTGGGGCAGTTGCTGACAAGCCACACCACGTGCTTCTTCTTACCCCTCCAAATGTCCAGGAGGCCGTCCGGGACGTCGGAACGGTTCCCGTTTACGGCGTAACTACCGTAGGACGTGACCACGTCCGAATCCAACCTGTAAGACATGGTCCAGTTAAACATGCGCCTCATGAACCTGAAGGCTGCAAAGTAGGAATGGGGTGGCGCTTCCAAGCAGTAGTAGATCCACTTCTGTTCCGGCTTCCGGTGCAGAGGAAGATCGACCACGCTGACGTCACGACAGTGAAAGACAATAGCCTCACTATGTAACAATCTCCTCCTGTCCGTGGTCACTTCGCAGCGTGATTCGGGGCACCCCGAATGCGACAGGGCGCCTTCACCCACGGGCATGTAGTCACGAATGCCGAAAAAAGGGGTCCACAGCAGGATCACCTTGTCGGAACGCAGGAGAACGGACGACTGAGCTACGTAGCGGTACACAACGGGGTTATACCTCAACAATAGGTACAACGCCAATACGGAGAGGACCATGGTAACAATTAAACACGTCCTACATGTCGACAGTCGCGTGATCATAGCTCAAACTCGATCTCGTGCATCTGCAAAGAGAACGGACACAATATAGAAACACCACCTCTTATCTACCGAACAATACGACGCCTCTCGCAACGGTGTGACGTATTTTAATCGGCTACTAAACGTGTGACGTTTCGTTACACACACCTGCCAGCCATATTTTATAAAATAAACAATAAATATTTAATCCTGCGGTGTTTTAAACAAACACAACGCTTCAAGAGAAAGAGAGCACGTGGTCTTTTAGAAATTTGGTAGGAAACGGCACGTGCTCGAGCTGTTCGGGAATTTAAATCGGAAACCACGTGATCCACGGCGTGGCTTACGTCAAGCCCCCTGCCCACGTGACCGCTGCCGATAACCCCGGCTCCTTCCCGAGCACGTGGGGGACTGGTGGGGTCACGTGTAGATGTTTTAAAGTAACTAGAGCGTGAAACGTGATCGAAGGACGAAGAAATAATCGAAAATCGTAATAAATTCGGGCGTGAACGCCCATCGTTTGCTAAGCCTCGCCGACTGAGCTGTTTAACCGAATTCGATGAGGTTTAAAGGCTTTTTATGTATTATTTCTCGAGACTTTAGCGTATCTCGTGTTTTAAAATCGATTAAAGTTGCGGATACTCACCTTACCCGGCCGTAATATTAATCCTTTCTCGTTTTGTGCACCCCTAGCGAGGTCCATCCATCTTTTCTCAACTGTCGTCACTACTGCCGTGCGCTGATTGGTCAAGAGAAGCGCTATCCCGTCGTGACGTCGATTAAACTCTTCTCGTCTGCTTTTTTTAAGAGGCGCCATCTTAAATTTTTTTTTATTTTAAAAATAATTAAATATTTATTTGTTAAAACGAGTTGACTTTATTTCTAATGTAGACTTTTTAAGAATTTTTTTAAATATATAAATTTATTATAATCTGTTTATCGTAATTATAATAATTTCGTTAAATAATTTGGCAAGCAATTAATGCTAATTGCTAGAGGCGCGGAAGATGCATCGATGGTTGCGTCACATCCGTCCGTACGATTCGTCAAAAATACAAATGACGTCATCGGTGTCTCCATTCTCATATTTGAATTCGTTCCGAATAAATTTTGCAAATTTTCTCGGAAATTTTTATTTAAATTTTAAAAATATTTCGAAAGACTTTAACATAAATTTGGAAAAACACAACGTGCCCGCCATTTAATAGAAGATGAAGTATAGTATATATGTAAACGTTAATCGACCAATAAAAATTAAGTTAAGAAAAATAAATCGGCAGGACGTCATTAAAAGAATACATTAATTATAAACGTTTATTTCTTAATTAAAATAAAAGTAAAAATAGATTTTTCTAACCAAAGTAATAAATAAATAATTCCTATTGAATATAATTAAGATTAAAAGTATTTTTTTTTATTAAGTAAGGCGTATAAATTATCGGATTCAGAATGGCTTACGTATTCATGACGTCACTCATGATCCTCTCAACTATTAGATAATATCATATAAATTTAAATTTTAAAAATTGTTCATCGGCGTCAATCTCTCCCGCCATCTAATGAGTATGACGAGAACTAAATTTATTAAATGATTAATTAAGCTAATTAATACGGCAATTTAATTAGGCATTTTACAATTTTCCTGTAGAATAATTATAATAGTTTCCATTTACGAATAAAAATAACAGAATTTTTTTTTTTTTTTTTTTAGAATCTTAAAATCTACCAATGGCGCGTGCGATTTATGAAGAGAAAAATTGTAAATGCCATCTATCGACCGGATTATGAAATAATATTTAAATTACATTTTAAAATATTAATTTAAATAAATGCTAAAACTTTGCTTGAAATAATTACTTGAATTAATTTAAATAATAAACTATTTAATATTTATTTTCATTTTTTTTCGGTGAAATAGTGTAATTTTGTTAGAAGCGTTTACGACCTTCGATACATTAGTTCTCATTTCCGCTAAGAGATGGCGATGAGTACCTGCGTAATAGTTTCCGGTAGTAAATACACCCTGACAGTGAAAAAATGGATTTTTTCTGTTAAAATTACTTCCAGTCACATCAAATTAAACGGGGGCAGAAAAATGATGAGAAAGGATAGGAAAAGAAATATTAAATCAACCGAAGATAATGGCTTTGTTTAGAGGAGATAAAAGATAACCCCGTGTTGAAAACAGTAAATATAACTGTTCAGGCAGCTGAAAAAGATCATTTAAATTATCATCTACTTAATGCATGCTAGGCACGAGCACAATACATTTATTTGATTGGTTACTAAATTATCTTATTATCTGTAGTGATTATCTAACATACTATCCGGTATTACCTATTACCTAACTGAAAATAACTGTATAATTTACTGTTAATTACAGTGACGGTGCATTAGATGATAATCTAATGCCCTTGCAATGGGTAAAACGAAAGATAACCTTATCTATATACGCGTTATCTAAAGAAAAGGATAACAGATAATCTATTTACATTATTATCTAACTGTGTGCTAGGCAAGAGCACACTACATTTATCTAATTGGTAATTAAATTATCTAATTATCTTATTATCTATAGCGATTATCTAATAGAGCATCTTGTAAATAAAAGTATCTATTATCTACCGAAAATAAATGTAAAATTTACTAGTAATTAGAAAAAAAAGTGCATTAAATCAAAATGTAGTGCATTTGCAATGGATTAGATAATGTTATCTGAAGCAAAAGATAATAAAACGATAATTTTACTTAAAGCGAAAGATAACAGATAAACTATTGTTGCGTCGCGTGAATAAGTAATCTATTCGTAATTCGCAATTTATCATCAATTACAAATAACGGCGTTATCTATCACACAATTATCTATCATCTTTCGCGTTATCTCACGTTTATCTGAGTGGTTTTGCGAGATTTCTTTAATAGAAAAAAAAATCCTTCCACTCGCTCGACCGAGATAACGGTAAGAAACAGCGGCATGCGTTATCTGGCAGCGTCATCTAGATAACAGATAATACACCCTGCAGAAACCATTCACTCCTTTATCTTCAGCACTTAATCCAACTAAACCATACGCTATTAAGGCAGCAAACCACATTAATCAGATTTTATCTCTAATCAGATTAAGCGCCCCAGACTAGATAATCTGGCTAGATAAATCCTCCTTTTATTACGTAGTGCTGTGTAAGAGTTACATTCACGCTAACCAACGGACACAATGAATAAATTCGTTTTTTTATTTCTTTGAAAGGGTTTTATATATATATAGTTTTTTCCCCTATAAACACGGGTAAAAAAAGAGGGAGAGGGATAAAGAAACAGAAATTAAAGAATCAGATCAATTCCAACCAGCCAGAAGATTAGAACAAAGACGTACACGTTTAGATTTCGTCATATCAAAGACTAATATTGACAGTAAAACTCGTAGCTTCTATTGAAAACGATGGAAAATCTAAATTCTATAAAGGTAACAAAGATGAACTGGTAATGGATAGTATGGAAAAGGACTTAGATAACTGTTTACATATCCAGTCTGAAAGATGGATTTTATCTGTTTGGTAGTGTTTGATTTCCTTCAATATTTTCCAGGCATATTACCGTTTACTAAAGCTATTGATTATTCTCGAATTATTACTGTAAACATCAACTTTCAATCACCCCCCTTTTAAACGCATAAAAAAGGAGGAAAAAAAAAAATATACAAAAGATGATGATGATGACGATGTTTCTAGATAACGGTTTAAACACCAACTTTATCATCCCCTTCAACACACAAGAAATAATAATAATAATCTAGATAATAATAATAATAATCTAGATAATGATTTATCCGCTTTAACTCTTGATTATTCTCGAATTTTTTAATGTAAACATCAAATTTAACAAGAAAACACGCACGAGAGATAATAAAACAATTATCTAGATAACATTTTATCTACAATTTTGACTTCGATTAGCGATTGAAATTCGAAAATGACCGTTGTAGACAAACCGTTTTCTAGACGACCGTTATTTGTTACTTCTAGAGTCTTTTTTAATCGTCTAGATAACGTTTTTTTATCTAGAATAGATGTAAAATACAACAATAATAAGAATAATCATGTAGATTACCACTTATCTACAATAATAACATGGATAGTTTAGAATGGAATAGCGTGTACATAACAGAGAGCAACTGAAAATGAAACGTAAAAAAAATAAATAAATAAAAAAAATGTCGAAGAGAG